TTGTCTGCTGTTTACATTCACGAAATATTTCACACACGCTCCTGCCTGGGCCTCACAGCAGACCCGCGACAGCAGGGCAGAGCTCGGTCGCTGCCCTCCTTCCGCGGAGCCGGCCCAGGGCGTGATCCGCACAGAGCCTCAGCTGCTAGGGGCTGTGCCCGGGACGGCGGTCAGGGTATTCCGACCTCGGCCACCGGAGCACGAGGCCTCGAGGATGTGACCAGGGCATGCCAGCTCTGCGCTGCCAGGGCAGATTAGCGCAGGGGGCCCTGCTGCTTCCGGTTCCAGGCAGACTGCGCACCCACAGCGTGGGAGGAGAGAGGCCCGCGGGGTTTATAAATATCTCCCGTCGCGGCCCCGGCCAGGAGACCCGGGAATGCAGCGCGGTGCTGCCCTCTGCAGGACGGAGGTGGCCCTCCCGCGCCGCTGCCTGCGAAGGGAGGAAGGGGAGGGCCGCACTGATTCGTACCCACGCGGACATCCATCCGGAGCCTGCTGTGTGCCAGGCCGTCTTCTAGGAACCACAGACGTGAGGGAAAAGGCTCGAAAAGCTCCTGCCTTCCATGGTGATACATTGGGTAGGGATGGAGGGCCGACCACAGGTAAAAACGTCTGTAATACAAGGCCATGTAACAAGAAGTGCCGTGAAGAAAAATAGAGCAGGTGAGTGGCTAAAGATTGACGAAGGATGCTAATGATAAAGGAACGTAGGTGGGGCCCCAGGGAAGTGAGGGAAAGGACCCTTATCAGGGGAAAAGGCCAGCAAGGCAGAGGGTGAGTTGGGGGGCACCGAAAAGGGGAAATTCTGGGTGCACTATAGGAATAATGAGACTGGTGTGGCTGAGAGCAGTGCTGGGGAGAGAGGAGGCTCTGAGATGGAGACTGACCCCTTTCTTACTGTGGGGGTGCAAAAAATAACTTTCCTCCCACCTTCTAAGTTCTTCTACTGGGCTAATAAATCCATATGAGCTAGATTAACAGGACAAAACTGTCCAACATCTATCCTGGGTGTACATGCTGGAGGTGCCATGAGGCCAGAAGATGCATTGGGCAGTTAAGGTTTATATCCCATTTTGGACAAAGGAGAAAGGGGACAGGGGTCTGGGACATCAGAGGGAAAGTAGGCAATTCACAGGTAGATGAGAAAGATCGAACAATTGGTAAACAAATTCTTGCTGTGTTGGCCATCCAGAAACAATGGGACACAGAGGGGAGTCCAACTAAAAGGCTTTGCTAGCATTGTCCCTGGCTGCCACGTGTAGTTCACATCATGATGCTAAGGCAATGCTCCCTTCCTTCAAGCAGGTTTTTCTATCTGAATTTCTTTAGGCAGGTTGTGTGTGTGCGCATATGTGTGTGTGTGTGGGGGGGTGTCAAAGTTCTTTGTGTCTTTTATTTCTTTTTTAATTTATTATTTTTATTTTTCAGTTACAGTTGACATATTATATTAGTTTCAGGTGTACAACATAGTGATTAGACATTTATATAACTTACAAAATGATCACCCCGATAAGCCTAGTACCCTCCTGACACCATCTTCTGTTTCTTAATGACCAGCTTAAAATCAACACCTCAAAAGGCATTATTTTAGAGTTGCAAAAGTTTGGACCCCTTCATTACTCTCATGGCACACGTAGACAGGAGAGTGAGGTGCATACTCCAAAATCCATGTGGCTGAGAACAGTCCTGCTCAGAATGCAAGCACATTAACATCAACTAACAAGTGCTGAGCTGGCTGTGTCCAGGGATATGCCACAGCCTGAGAAGTGAGTATTCCTGGCATCGTCACCATTTTGCAGATGAGGAAACTGAGGCTGTGAAAGGTAGAGGTTATGTGGTTTGCCCAAGAACAGAAATGTAAAATCACAGAGTAGGGACTCAAATCTGGCTTTGTCTGACTCCAGAATCCAGGCTTTTAATAATGAATTGTGCACTAGGAAGAGAAAAAAGGGGGCAGGACATAAAACAGCATGTAGAGGATGGCAATACATCAAAATGTGATACTCTCCAAGGATGAATTATGCCCTCTTTCCACTATGGGCCAGGGACGGGAGGGGGGGATTATTTACCCCCAGAAGGCGGGAGGGAAGGCCCTTAGTAGTTACAACCGCCACACCTCCTACGCAGAAGGTCCCTCTGGGCTTACAAACTGTCTTCTTTCGCTGTCCTGCACTTAGTCTTCATCACAGGAACCCAAGCCTCAGGGAGGCTGGGAGTCAGGTAGTTTGTAGTACATCTGGGACCAGGCCAGACATCTCTACATTGCGAGTCCTCCAGGAGTCAGGTCAAGGAAAGAAGAGAGAGAGCAAGAAGTCAAAGGAGACCTGAAACCAGGCAGCCAAGGGGGCAGGGCAAGGACGCGATGACCAAGAAGTGAAGCAGTTCCCGAATCTTCCCAGCAGAGGGCGACGCCTCCCCAAAGCTGTGCAAACCTGCCGGGAGACCCAGGGAGCCAGCAGATTGTGAAAGTGTGGGGGCGTGGGGATGCGGTGGGGCCGTGGACGGAGGTCGGCCCACAGGACAGGTCGCCCGGCGGGGACGGTGGTGTCTGCGCCGAGGTCAAGCGTGCTGGGGCGCCGCGCGGTTGCGGCCTGGAGAGTGAGGCGCTGGTAGGCGTGGGCGCGGATAAGGTCCCGGCGTAGGCGGGGACCGGGGTGCAGACTGTCTGTGGGACTTCCTGAAGCGGCAAGATTTGCTGCTGCGGAGAGGCGGTTACTCACTCAGGCATTGCCACCTGCTTCCCTCCCAGCTCCCAAACACCACCCAGAGTCCCCCATCTCCACCCCCGCCCCAGCTAATGGCAGCTGCGCCCCCAGGCTGGAGCCTGCCCCTGCAATTTCAGCCCTCAGCCTCAGGTTGGGCGAGGGTGGTGCCCAGCTGACTCCTGCTCATGGGGCTGCTCCCCCCAGCACCAGCACCAGCACCAGCACCAGCCTGATCTCCCCGCTAACCCCCAACTACTGGTCTAGACATGAACCCCTGCTCAGCCCCACCTCTTCTCCCCTCACGGTAGAGCATCGGCTACAACCAGTCAGCCAGCAAGTCTTGGATACCTGAGTTGTGTCCTGACCCCTGACTCCAACCGAGGTGGGGACACATGGATCTGATGGGATCTCCTTGCCCTCCAAGAGCTCCCAGTCTGTTGGGGTGATGGCCACCACACATACCAAAACTTAACTCCGCGTTGCCAAGTGGTTCCGTGCTAGTGGGAGGCATAGTCCTCAGCCCCCCGAGAATGAGGAGACAAGGATTCAGATGTCAGCCTCAGTGGGGCCTGAGTTCTGGCAGCATTTGGAGCCCAGAGCTCTCTAGAATCATCTTCATTCAACATCAAGTCCATAAATCCTTATTGAGAATTTGGGGTGTTTGTTTTTTAATATTTTAAATTTTTTATTGATTTTAGAGAAAGGAAGGGGGAGGGAGAGAGAGAGAGAGAGAGAGAGAAACATCGATCGGTTGCCTCCCATACCCACCCTCACCAGGAATCAAACCCACAACCTGGGTATGTGCCCTGACGGGGAATCGAACCTGTGACCTTTTGGTGCATGTGACTACACTCCAACCAACTGAACCACACTGGCCAGGGCCTGGGGTGTTGTTAAAAATACCAATGCTCCAACCCCCCTCAGAACTCCTGAATCAATCTTAAAGGGAGGGATGGGTCCTGCGTACTGTTAAATGTCCTCCAGGTGATTTGTTGCTATAATTAATACTCACAGGTCTTGCATTCACTTAACCAGGTCTTGCATTCATTTAACCAGAGACCACTTTCTTCAGAGATGGCAGGGTTTGAGCCAGGCCCTCAATCAGAGTGAGAATTAAAGTGGGCTGCAAATGGGGCCTGGGTGGCTTGTCACTCTGGGGACAAAAGGAAGGTTGCTGAATGAACCTGGCCAGCTGTGAGGGGAGCTGTTAAGTGACTCTGTAGGGTAGCAGCAGAGAAAGAGGTCCAGAGGGGCAGGATTTGCATTATTTTTACTTTTGACATAGATTTGTTTGTGCTTCCTCCCTGCTTTCCAGTCCCATGAGCCTTCAGACCACAAGGGGTCCCACACAGAGAAGATACGTTGGTTGAAATTAAGTTTGATAACTAAAGTTCTGAGCTCACTGCTAATTCATTCATACTGCCTTCAGTCAGTGTTGACTGCCCACTCAATGCCAGGCCCAGCAAGGTTCAGAGAGTTTCAATTCAGAGGAGGCTCCACTTTCTGAGTGTGGGGCAGGGCTGAGGAAGAGCAGAAGAGGTGGGCTCTAGGAGGAAGAGCTGCCTTCCAGGCACCCTGCTTCTGCCAGTCTCCCGTCTGTAAGGTCAGAGCTGAGAGGCGCAGTGTTCCGAGGTCACCACCAGGGGTCAGGCGCGCCTGCTCTGCTTGCCAGTGTCCGGCTCAGTCCCTGGCTATTTTATTCTATTGAGAAAGCCTCCTTGGTCCCCTGCCCTCTCCACAGCGGTGTGTTCCTCTCTCTCTCACTTCTTGTAGCCCATCACTTCCTCCTTTAGGTCATCCCATCCACCCATTAGTACAGGACCAGGCAGGCTTCCAACTACACCACCTGACGTTTTTCTTGACCCTTGGAGAATCCCACAGCCTCTCAGTTCCCCAACTTCACTAGTGACTGACTGGTGAGCAGAAAGTGCCACCTATTGTCTTGCCTCGTCTCCTGTTGCCATTCAGCTCAAGTTCCCTGGTTTTGTCTATGGGCAAAACAGGAGTGTCTATGGGTTCACGCCTAACAGGTTTTCTTACATGGGTCAACAAAGCTGTTAGCCAAGCCCAAGCCTCTTTTGTGGCCTCCAGAATCTCCTCCCAAGAGCTTCCCCCCTTTGATGAGAATGTTCTCACCTCACTCCAGGATAGCACCCACATCCATGCAACCTTGATCGCTCTGGACCTGATCTCCTCCTTTTGCTATCTGGCACATCTCAGACTCTGCTCCTTCAGGTCCCACTTTTCATATACACTCCACACCCCACCTTTCCCCCTCAAAGTGAGTCCACAGATTTAAAGATTCAGCTCCTCTAAATAGTTCTTTCCCATCTTGACCCTGTCCTCACACTCCTTCTTCCAGGGAGCATCCCCATTCCCCAATCCAGGATCTAGAGACAAACAGATATGAGAGATGCTGGCTCTGCCAGGTACCAGCTATGCTACCTTAACCTCTCTAATGCTCAGTTTCTTCATCTGTAAAATGGGGGCACTCATACTTGGCTCTCAGACATGCTGTGAGGCCTCAGTGAGGTGACAGATGTGGAAATGCTTAGTACAATGCTGGGTCCATAGCAGGTGCTGAGGGAGATACCCCCCTGTCCTTTCCTTAAGGTACAGCTGCCACCCCCACTGTCCACCTCTGGCCTGCCAATGGGAACCTGCCCTCATCTTTGTGCACTGGCTGCTTCTTTCCCCTCCTGCTGCCCCTGGGCAAAGGAGGAAGAACCAGGGGACTCAGGGCATGGCAGCCACCATGCTGAGGAGATGGGGCTGATGCGGTCCCATGTGGGAACCTCAGACCAGAACTCCATTTGCAGGGCTGTGTCCTCACTCTACCATGCCCAAGACCTGGCATGGTGTCCACTCTCCCCCTCCTCTCTGGAGTTACTGGGGCCTGGGGAGGGGGAAGGGCTCCCCTAGAGTCCTCTGAGGCTTTTGAGAGGACCAGAAGGCTGGTAGGAGGTGAAAGAGGGGAGGCAGGGCAGGGGGAATGCCGACCACACAATACTGTGAGTCCCTGCTCCTTTCCCATCCACCCCCACCCATCCACCAAACACGATTCCTGGGTTAATTTTTAGCATCGCAGCTCTCACATTAGTCACTCCCTGTCACCCACCTACATGGCAGGAGACTGCTGTGCTGGTGCCGTCATCCCATCAGCTGAGAAGTGGGATCTAGCCCCGCCCTTCCCTGGGTACCCCCTCACTCTCCTCTGGGTGCACACAGCCAGGAGCCCCTTCAGCCTGGGCGAGGAGTACTGACATCACTCCCAAGACAAGCTGCATGGGGGAGGGGAAGAAGCAGCTGGTAGGAAAGTGACTGGGCATCTATTCTAGGAGAAAGCCAGGGAGGCCCTTATAGTCCCCACCCCCAGTAAGGTGCCAGCTATGCCCAGGCGTCTGGTCTCCTGGCAGCCCTGGGCTCTAGAAACAAAGGTGCGAGGGGCCCCTCCCCTAGACCTGAGCCCCTGGGAGCCTCTGGTTGTCATCACAGCAGAGCAGCTGTTCAAACATGGAGCTTGGGGAAGCTCTATTTCCTTAATCAAATGTCCTCCCTCCCCTGGACCAGGGAGGGTAGGGCAGCCAGGTGCAGGTGCCTTGTGTGGAGCTGACACCCAGCCCTCAAGGGATTGCATGAGAGGGGCCCACAGATGGAGCAGGGGAGGGGCTCCTCACCCCATCCCCAGGGCTGAGAGGTGGAGAGGCAGTGGTCACCTCTATACAGGGCTGAGGAGGCATTCCTGTTTATTGATCACCTACTGTGTGCCAGGCTGTTAGGCCATGGAAGTATAAGGTAAACAAGGCAGTTTCCTGCTTTAGGAAGGCAAAAGGCAGATGCAAAAGAAGTCAGTAAAATTACCAATTGGTAGCTCTGGTTGGTGTGGCTCAGGAGGTTGAGAGTCGTCCTGTGCACCAAAGGGTCGATGGTTCAATTCCCAGTCAGGGTCTGTGCATCGGAGGCAGTCAATCCATGTTTCTCCCTCTCTCTCTCCCTCTCCCTCTCTCTCCAAAATCAATAGAAACATGTTCTTTTAAAAAATTACCAGTTGGAAGTAAATGCTATAAAGGATAAAATGGAGGGCTCAAGATAAAGAATAATGGGGCAGAGAACTACTTCTGATCAGGGAAACCTCTCTGAGGAGGTGATGTTTAAGCTGAGACCTGAGGATGGAGGAATCAGCCTTGGAAAGAAGAGTATTCCAGGCAGAGGGAACAGCATGGACAAAGGCCAGAGGCAGGAAAGAGCTTGGCAAATTTGAGGAATAGGACTAGAAAGAATAGTGTGGCTTAGATATAAGTGACATGGAAGGAAAAATGATTTGAGCTTGAAGAAAGAGGCAGGGACCAGGTCCTGGAGGTCCTCATGCAAGGAGTCCCAGTGTCATTGCAGAGGTTGGATACGGCACAGCGGCTCCCAACAGGAAATTGTGCTGCTGTCAGCCCAGAGGAAGGGATGCCTTTCTGTAATTTGTCTGCCCAGAGGGACACCATGCTTAGGGTAAGCCATGGAAAACAGTTTGATCTTCTTTTATTCCAGGGGAAGCCATATGAGTTTGAAGCAGAGAAGGATGATGATCTGATTTCCCCTTTGGAAAGCTCACCCTGACCACTTGCTGTGTGAAGGGATGTTCCAGGGATAAGAGAGGAAGCAGGGAGCCCATTCAGGAGGCAAGAGCAGTGGTACAAGCAGGAGAGGGTAGGAGAGAGCCACCCCTTGTATGTTGGTTACTGTCAGGGAGGAGCACTGGCGCATGAGTCTCAAGTCTTAGGTCCAGCTCTGCCACTTACTTTCTGTGTCACCCTAGATCACCTGGAGATGCTTTGAGCACACACGGCATTTATTCAGGTTCTACTACGCACTAGTATTGGGCAAGAAATAAAGCAGTGAACAAGAGAAAAAAAGGTCCCTGAGCCCTGCTGCAAAAGGAGGGTATATCCTAATGGGGAGGGGGGCCAGGTAAAACACAAAACCTCTAAAAGCCCAGACAGTTTCAGATGTGATGAGTAGTAAGATGGAAATAAAACAGGGCTCTGTCACTGCAAAGGGTGTGACTGTATTTCAGACTGGGTGGCAAGACCGTGGGGAGGCAGAGTTGGGGGCTGAAGTCGGCAGCTATGGGAGGAACTCTTAAGGGGAGGGGATCTCAAGTGTACTAGGTACAAGGTGGCCAGAGCAGGGACTGAGAGTGGGGGACAAGAAAATAAGCCGGGCAGAGGTCAGATGTCCCAGCCTACGAGCTGGAAACCTTACTCTGGGGATACTGGGAAACCACTGAGGAGTGAGCGGTGACTGGACCTATCACAAGCTGGCGCGATGAGGGCTAAGGTCTTCCAGGAGTCCCCCGGCCCTGGGAAGAGACGGTACCAAGCAGTTATTTACACAGGATAGTTAAGGACTTTAGATGAGACTTGGCCGTCACCTCCTACTGTATTTGGGGAGGGAGACTCATGATGCACTGAAACAAGAGGCCTGAGTTCTGAAGAGGGCGTGGGCCTCCAGTTCAGGCCCAGACATGTATGTTAAAAATCCCCCAGACTATTTCCCTGGCTGCAGGCTCCAAGTACATAAGATGTAAAATACTGTGCGTGTGTGTGTGTGTGTGTGCGCCCACGGGTGCGTGTTGGGAAGCAGGGTGCATGGCAGAGTCTGAACTTGCCTGAGCCCAGTCCCCCCCGNTAAGATGTAAAATACTGTGCGTGTGTGTGTGTGTGCGCGCCCACGGGTGGGTGTTGGGAAGCAGGGTGCATGGCAGAGTCTGAACTTGCCTGAGCCCAGTCCCCCCCGGCAGGCAGTCACCACACTAACACGGATGCAAAAAAAACCCGTCAATTTTATACAGTTTGTGGTTCAGAAGCAACAATATGCAGAATGGTGGAACAGCCTGTGCTACCCCCCACCCCACCTGGACATGCCCAGGTCTGTCCCCCAAGGGGCAGAGAACCCAGGACCCCTGCCTGGCAGGACCCAGCTTAGTTACAGGCCCCCGGGAGGGGCCAAGCCCTTAGGGTGAAGGCCAGGAGCCAGGGGGACCGGCACCTTAGGCGCCCTCAGGGGCCCACCGTTAACTGGAACTGTATGTGTGTGGAAGGCAGGGAACTACCGGCCATAGGCCATTTCTCCCCAAGGCCAACGAGAGCAAGTAAAGCTGAGGAGAGGGCTTCGTGGGATAGGGTCCCCCCATCAGGAGGCGATTTCCTAGAAACCCCACAAGGCACTACTGACCAGATGTAGGATGGCAAGCCCCATCTTGGCCCCCGAACCTCTTCCAACTCCCAGCGCACGGGGTTGTCCCCAGAGCCAGCTCCCGCCGTGGTTTAGGGAGGAGTAGAGGGGTCTGGGGCCTGGGTTCACCGCGCCGCAGACAAGCCAGGAACCTAGCGGGCCAGCTGGGCGCGCAGGGACCCTCTCCCACTGCCCTGGGTTCCTGGGGTCCCCCCTCCGCCGGGGCCAGCCTCCCTCCCCCGCACCCCTTCCCTTCCTGCACTCGCTGGAATGAATAAATAAATAAAT